CCAGCTCAGCCCACCAGGGGGAGCGACTGGCTGGCATGTGGTGCTGGGGGATCGAACCGCGGTCCCTGTGCTTTTCCAAGCTTGTTCCAAATAGGTGCTTTAGACCACTGAGCCATCTCTCCAGCCCTATACTGACTTCTTAGAACTAAAAAATATTCTATCTGGGTTCAAGCACACAGTAAAATTGAGCTACGTAACAGTCTTTTTTGCCACGATATTAGACTTGGCACATTATTTAAAAATTACAAATTTTCCAAAAAGAATGACACCTTCATTTTGTCCTTTTACTTTCTTCCTCCCAAAAAGAAAATGTTAGCTAGACACCTGTATATTCACACACTGCAAAACATGAGGCACAGGAACTAATTAAGTAAGAAGGAATGTAAGTACTTTGAGGCTATATCACTTTCATATTCTGAGCTGGCTGAATACTATTTTTGAGTGAGCAGTGAAACTAGTATTGTCTCATCTTTTTTTTTTTTTGCGGAACTGGGGATTGAACTCAGGCCCTTGTGCTTGCCAGGGAAGCACTTATTTTACTGATCTATCTCCCTGGGCCCTCATGTCTCATCTTGATTAATACAGAATTTTAAAACTTGAAAAGAAATCCACCTGAAGAAGACCAAAAGTGACAGGCAGGATAGGAAGTAAAAGCAGGAGTCGAGGACACAATGTCTACAATGACTCAGTTTCCTTTTGGATATTTTAAAAACGGAATTCTTTCTCTACTCTGTGTTGCCTGAGAACCATTATGGTTTTGTAAAGTCTGTAACAGCAATTACATGTAATAACGCACAAGGACATTTATTGTCTTAACTCTATAAATACTATGTTAGTAATACTAAACTATCTTCACTGGCTTATTTGTAAAAAGAAAAAAATATATATATTTTTTATAAAGTTAGTTAACACTGAGGGTAAAGACAGAATGAGAAGCAGTGCATAATCACAGTTTCTCGGGATACAGTAACCAAACTGGGGTCTTGCTCAAGCCACCTGGTCAAGCAGTGTCTGAGGAAGAGTCATAGGAGGCGGAGACAATGAAATTGCTGCTGTTAGAGTGCCCAGCCACTGACTGGGCAGCCTGCTGGCTCAGGTTGTTACAGATAAGCACCAGCTGGTTGCTCTGGGCCTCGGACAAGGTGCTGCAGCTCTGGTACACACTGAAGTTGGTCTTCCTGCCAGGGATGTTGCCCTTCTCACACATTGTCTTCACCATCTTGGCCAGCTTGTTCTTGCCAAGAGCCTGGCAGTTATACCAATGCAGAGCTGCCAAGTTTACAACCGGCTTGATGGACAAGTAGAAAGGGGCATCCTCATAGCGCATGGCAGGAGGCCGCCGCTGGGCATACTCCTTATAGTCCTGCACAGGACAGGTCTGTGGGGCATGCTGGGTAGCATACACCCGGGAGTCCGTCCCCCCTCTCTTGGTTTTGGCATTCAGATCACCAGTGTCTTGACCCATCCACTCCAAGTACTCCAGCCCTGTTTCTGTTATCCTGAGTCGGATATCACCCCATTTCAAGGTAGATCCATGGAAGCCTGTGCAGTGCCCGAAAGCTTTCGTATTGTTGAGCCACACGAGGTTGAGCAGACCTTCAGGGTTATATCTGCTTAGCAGTCCTCTTTTCCGCAGGATGAGCTCGTCAGCAAAGGTGAGCTTCATGGACTTGTGTGGCTTATTTCCTTTTCCTTTGCATCGAAGCTCTATCTGCTTCTGTTTCAGGGCCTCTTGTGAACGCTTGAATTCCTTGTCCCTGGTGATACTGTAGCCATACCTGTGCTCTTTAAGGTACCGTTCAAGCCCACACTGGTAATTCGCCAAGCTATTGGGTTCATACTCAGACCCGTCCTTCTGCCTGGCATCAACAAAGAAAGAGGCAAGGTAGGCATCCAACTCCTTGCAAGGGATGACATAAATCTCTCTTGTTTCAGAAGGGTACTTGGAGATGAGGAACTCCCGGAAATTGCGGAGCGCAGTCTGTGTGCTCCGGATGGTTTTCTCGTTCTGCTCTCTGCTGAGCTCAGCTGCTCTTTCATCCTGGTCTGCAACAAATTGGGGAGGGGAGGGATAGAGAGGGTGTTGATGAGTTCAGACAATGCACTTTCTACTCTGAAATCAAGTTTCCTTTTAAAATGAAAAGGGAAAGAAGGAGTCAATTTTATAGAGATCACTGATAAGTGGCATTTACAGACCTGTCACATGATAAAAGCCAACTTGAGCTTCATAAATATACTAGATAAGAGTATGGCCCACACCAACCAAAGTGAGTTCTTGTATCAGTGGCACATAGCTCAGTCTGTGCTAGGCGTGTGGTTAGGGGCAGCCTTCATTTTAGGAAAAATGTGGGTGAGGCATATGCTATTTATCCTGTGCAGTGTGAGAGGGCCCTTGAGAGCCGAAAGACTCATTCTGAATCACTTCTCTTGTGAAACCAGAGGATGAACTGGTTCCTTTTTTTTGAATTAAACTGGAATACAGAATTTATATTTGTTAACATATCACTAGAAATCTATATGGAAAAAAATAAACAATCTTCTATGTAGTTAGCTTGATATTTCCTCTTCTACAGCAATTCAGGTAAACACATTATATATAAATATTCTTGCTGGGGCGACGGCTCAGTGGAATAAGTGCTTCCCTGGCAAGTGCAAGGCCCTGAGTTCAATCCCTGGTTCCGCCAAAAATAAATAAATATTCTAGGGCAGTTTGTACTAAGTGGTAAAAATATTTGGCGTTTTAGAGGAAAACAAGTATACAATTTCATGGCTGTAACAAGAGGAAAATGAAATGTGAATAAGGCTATTATAATCTAGATATAAGGAAGGGGGTCTTTTCCTACAACACTATTTTATTAACTTATTTTAACATTCTGCTTTAAGGATTTGAGATGCTTCTTTCTGTTATAGATCTTCCATAATGAAGTAATATGGTCAAGAGTAGTGGTCCTCATACTTTACAATGCTTGGAAATCATTCATGATACTGGGCCAAATGCAGATTACCAAATAACAGGCCTAGGTGTCTGCATTTTAACTAGTCCCCCCTGCCCCCTCACTGATGATATTTGACAGTTTACACTGTGAGAAACAAAGGGCCTTATGTCCTATACATGAACAGCTGTGATTATTTTAGGTATTTTTTTTGCATAATGATTTCATTTTAGTAATATTTAAATTTGAGATCTTAACATTATAAAAACACTGTCAAAAAACCATCATCAGTATGTCAGACATAGGCTGGGGGAAACTGAAAAGAGAAATCCTAATGATGGAGTTATACAATAGAAATCCAGACTACCCTACTATTGTTGAGGCAAATATAGAGATTAATCTGGAACAACATTCAAAAGTGCAATTTCTGGTTTTTGAACTATAAATTTCATCCCAATTATCTAGAAAAATGTTACATTTGTAAGTTTGCTCAGTAGACTTTGCAATTAATTACATCCAATGATAAAAATGAAGTTACTAACTTTGTTTCAAAACACACTACTTTTTGAATTGCTATACATACACATGAATCGCCATGTTATTTTATTTTTTTATGTATTTAGTACAGGGTCTACAGGGCCGTACTACACAGATCAGAGTCCTAGTGATCCTCCTGTTTTCAACCTTCCACATGTTGGGATTATAGGTGTGCATCACCATGCCCAGTCGCTATCAATGTCTCGGCATGCCCTGGGGCGGGCTGGCATGGCAGGATGGGCACCGAATCCTTGTCCCTGTGCCTGCCTATGTAGGCACTTTAAGTCTGTGGAGCTATCTGGCTGGCCCTCGCCATGTTATTTTAAAATCACAATTCTAACGTGGAATTGCCAAAATCCATATAACCTTATTAAGTGAAATGAACTAAAAGTCACTAGCTAAGATATTTAATACAGGCACATTTATGAGATCACATTTCTAAAACTGAAATATATGAAAGCATTTTTATGCTTGAACATTCTTAACTTTCAGTTATGCTATCTTTTCTAGATGAAATTATTTATATAAATAATATAAATGCTTATCTTTCCATCCAAACCCTGAAAGCCACAGTGGAATATAATTTTTTACCAGCTGGCTTCCTTGACTATTTATACATAAAACTAAAAGGGCCAGCATATCTGTTTATTCTGGCTACTTGTTCAAAGGTCACAGCAGCTTCAAGTAATGATTTTTTAAGAAATAAACATCCAAAAAATAAATAAATAAAAAATAAAAAAGAAATAAACATCCACTAACAACTTTAGAGGAACAAAAAATTTCAGTTTCTCAACTTCCAAAAAAGTATTTTCTAAAATTTATACATCTGAGGTCAATACTGATTTGTGCATTTTGCTATCCCAAATATACTATGTTACATTCTCTGAAGTATGAAAGACTTCAAGAAGCCAAACAAAATTTATAAATCAATGATTAAATACCTAGCATTTCCTGTCTGCTGAATACAGATTCCGATGTAGGAAATATCTGCCACTAGAAACAGGATTTGAAGCCTGAACTGAGGCATTTTAAATTTAGGACATCTGAAGAAGTTACAAATAGGTTGATTCTTCTTTTTAATTTTTTGTATTTTAGGGAAGGGTCTACAGGGTGTTGAGGGTCTCACTACTAGATCAGACTTGTAGTGATCTGCCTGTTTACGGCCTCCTAAGAGCTGGGATTACAAGCATGTGCCCCCAGTCTCAATTGCCATCTCAGCATGCCCCAGGAGTGGGACTAGAACGGCAGGCCCGAGGATCAAACCCCCTAGGTTGATTCTTTTAAATGAACTGGAATATTCTACAGAACACACAAAAAAAATTCAGCATAAAACAGGCTTAAAATTCTATTCATTTCCCTTAGATTCTTTGTGCTTTTATTCACAAAATCTTTAACTAGTATCAAATCATAAAATGCCAGTTCTACTTACAGTTAATCCTCATTTTCATTGTATAAAATATTCAATATTTTCTTTTTTTTTTTTTTTTGGCGGAACTGGGTATTGAACTTGGGGCCCTTGAGCTTGCCACGGAAGTGCTTATTCCACTGAGCCATCTCCCCAGCCCCAGTATTCAATATTTTCTACCTCGGTTTTGCAAAAATAACCTGAAGCTTACATTGAAAATCTTTAGCTGTCAATTAAAAATCAGTGATATATGTTTTATTTTTTTCAAAGTTCTTTTAAATGGCATGTGAGGAAAAATCACGAGTCTGTTAGACTTAAGGAAGGGCCAAATAAGTGGATATGGAGTTAATGAAGATGACCCTGGAAGGGGCTGCAGTGCTGGCATGGTGTCACCACCTGGGCAGGTCCCAGGTGAGGCACCGGCTCTCTAGCTTCTGCCTCTCTTCCACATTTACAACATCAAGCTAACCTGCTTTGCTCAGCGTTGACAGACACTTCAACCTCCTCAACTCATCCTCACTGTTGTCAAGGCTTTTCCTCCTTTTTACTAGGCCTGGATCTTACTAAGAAATAGCCACTGCATCTGCTCAAAATAGAACTCAAGACATGTTACACTGCCACCATCTCTCCTTACAGCTTGGGATACACAGGAAGAAGCTGGAAAGGCAAAAATACCCTCGTTCGTTTTTTATGAATAAAGGAGAGGAAATGGTTTTAAAATCAAATAATTTTTTTTAGAGAATAACAAAATCAAGTAAGAGTAATAAAATGTAGACCCACTAAAATCATTTTGTATTTATCTGTAATTTTAGAAATCTTTTTTTTTTTTACTTTTAGAATTTTTTTTTTTTTTTTTTTTTTTTTGGCGGAACCAGGGATTGAACTCAGATCCTTGCGTTTGCCAGTCAAGTGCTTATCCTACTGAGACATCTCCCAGGCCCCTTCTTTTAGAAATTTCTGATCCATTTCTTTTTAACACTTTTTATTATGTGCAACATTCATGTTATGCAGTAGATCAGTGAAGGTGAACCTTTTAGACATGAATGCTCAGACTACAACGCCAAACCACTTATTTCCTGCAAAGTGCAAACACTGCAATTAAACCTGAATACTGAGGGGTTTAGTTTTGTTATAAAAGCAACTCATACTTGTCTCGCATGTTGACAGAGAGCACTGTGTGTCTCCACCACGCACATGTGTCATGGGCTCTCCACCCAAGCAGCAGACTAATCATGAAGCGCATGTGACTTTCACAAAGCAAACACAACTGTGAATCCAGTACCCAGCCCATGAAGAATGTCACAATACCCTAGAAGCTTTCCCTTTCTTCCAACCTTCCCTCACACAAAGAAAACTGCTCTCCTGACTTGAAGAACCAGGGTTTGTCCAGCCTGTTACCATAACCTGTTAGAGATGAAGACCGCTTTATACATGGCTCTTTAGACCAACATTATGCCCGTGACATTCCCCTACACTGATGTGTATGTTTGAGTCATGCTCTTCTGCTATGGGATACTCTACTGCATGAGTTTATAACTTGATTTCTGTTCCATGAAGGCTGTATTCTATTAAGTTTTCAGTTTGAGGCTATTTCTAATAAAGCTGATTCAAGCATTCTAGTGGGTATCTTTTGGTGACCATGTGCACACACTGCTGTCATGTACATATTTAGAAGTGAATTGGTGAATCATAAGAAATGATAAATTCAGCCTAACAGACATGGATAACCAATATTCCTTCTTTCTCTTTCCTTTTCATGCTAGACAAAGCATACTATAAGTGAGCTACACCCCCATCCCTTTTGGTTCTGTGTTGAGACAGGATCATATCAAACTGCCCAGAATGGCCTCAACTTGTGATCCTCCAGCTTAGCCTCTGAAGTAGGTGGGACACAGGTGCACACCACCTAACCCAACAACAGCCTTTCTGTACTTAGTAATATGGTGCCTGTGCCCCATCAAGTTACTGTTTTTCACATATCCTAGGCACCCAGTGTATATATACTGACATACCAGGGCTACCCAAGGAGGGTATGTAGAATAATTGAATAAATATATGAAGCGATGAAAAGAATTTCAACTCCACAGATGTTCCACATGTATTTTGCTAAACCCGAGTTGACCTCAGAAGGAAAAGAAACGGACATCCTCTAGACATGCACTGCCAAATGC